AATTTCCTCTTATGAAGTAATACTGAAGGACATCATTGCATCCCGAGGCAGAAGCACCCTGGGAAGTTTGGGCATTGGATATAAAGTACTGAAACAGGAGGCACAGGATGGCAGTCACAGCACACCATGAAAACCAGGTACCACGTATGAGCAGTATGTGATGTCAACAGTAAGGATTATCTACAGTCAATGTGAATCAGAAAGCAAATCTGGTTATTCACTTGCTGTACTGCAAAACAGAGAGCTACAGCAGCAGTTCCAGTGAATTTAAAGGTGCACGGGGAAAATAGGCTCACTCAAAGCAATTTCTTCATACCAATTTCCCTGTGAACAACATTTAAACAATTACAAACTTCTTCCTTTTCACAGAAGGCACAGGAAAGGATGGACAGACTTAATTGCCCAGTTCAGTGGCTATTTAGGATCAAGAAAAGCTGGAGTTTTAACCTGGTGTCTTAAGAAAATTAAGTTTATTTAGTAGCACTGCATGTCTGCCTGCCCCCTTTACCCTCATCACTAAGAATCTTCAGACTTTTTAGCCACTTTCACACAAATTAACAAAAAGGCAGAAATCTCAAAATTTTGGCACACAAAACAGCCTCAAACTGTTATACATTTAGCTACATCTTGAGAAAAATTTGAGCACTACAGCGACCTGTTAAAAGCAAGCAAGGGGGACAGGGGCTTAATTTTGCAATAGGGGGTCTCCATACAAGTTTAAGTTGACAAAGTCCCTAGTATGGCTGCAGGGAAAAGAAAAGCTGCAGCACCACCAAGCCAACGAAACAGACAGCTTCACAGTCCAGTACTACAGGAGGTTGCTATTGGAGGCAGAGGACATGAAACGCACCTTTTTCACTTAAAGACATTCTTTATTCAATCTTTTTTATATACAATATTATTTTTAATCTGTAAAAAGTACATATGCAGGATTCCAGGTCAGAGGCAGAAGGTTTCCACATCAGAAGATACACTTTTGCCCTTTTATTATTTTGGAGGAAAAATAATCTGTCAGTTTTAGACAAAGCAAGAAAAAAAGGCAGAATGCAAATCCAACTTCCACCAAACGATGAGGATTAAAGGCAACAATTCACCGTAGCAAGTCAGGCTGTCTCCTTCGACTTCGGTGGTTCCCAACTTTTCTGGGCAATTACAGAGCAGTTTGTTAGAAGGGGCCGACAGCCGAAGCAGCTAGTGCTTATCATCTCTGCTACAGTTGTATGTACATAACTTGCAAACCAGCTTGGGTTTCCTCTTTGTATGGCAACTCAAACTCTTGAGTCAGAAGACTGTTTCTCAAAATTCAAGGAGCGAAAGTGGGATGTCTTATCAGGGTGAACAGATCTCTGAACTACAGTATGATCAAGAGCTTGCTTTCACTTTTCTCTGGTAACAAGAAGCCTGTTTCTATTTGTCCCCTTAAAAACATGGACTAGACATTAATGTATGTAACAGGCTCAATTTGCTAAAAGCCTGTTACTACAGCCCTGAGATGTAAACTGCCTCACCATTTCCTGTGGATGCCAGGTTACATTGTTGATCCTTTCAATATTAATGTTATTAACCACTTCTCCATTCAAACTAGAGAGAGTCACATTATGAAGGTTTGTAGTATCACTTTCTCAGGGACAGAAGAGGGGATCATAAAAGCCGGCCTGATAGGGCTTTGCTTAGCTGTAAATCAGCACAGGGTAGACCTTTAACCTTAAAGAATGGTTTTACAGGGAATGTCTAATTATTTTCACTTTTCAGAACCTGGATAGTCAACATTCAAATCTTGTCAAATACTGGGTGGGAATATGTCAGTGACTGGGAGGTAGAAGACAGTGATCCACAAATTTGGAGTAAGGACCTAAAGGAGCCTCAAAGGTGTGACTGGCACAAGGAACTACCTGCTTTTCCCTTTACTCCAGGGTACATACTATTTTCCATACTTTTCTTAAACATTCAGTTTTAAGGACTATATTGTGCAGCAAAATTAATGCCCAGAATATCATTCAAGGCTTTTGATTTTATTTAGAGGGCAAAGCTAAGAAGTTGACTTCTTGACTGCAGGACTCACACAGCTCCAGGCTGGTCAATGGAAGCTACAGAAATCTAGCTTCTTTGAAAAGTCAAGCTGTAAATATTAGAAAAAAAATTTACTGCTAGCAGATCCTGACCAACAGGCAAGCTTGAGGCTTGGACTAGTAAAAGAACTGAACATCCTTGTTTTGACTGCATGCAAACAAGAAACTGACAATTCTGGGATTTCCAGGCTCTTGCCCAAATCCAGTGTGCCAAAAACGTACATGATTTTCTGTTCTTTATTTTATCCTGTAAGAGGAGAAGGTATTGTAGAACTTGGTAAAATAGGACAGCTACCTAAAGAAAACGAGGATTGTTTTGTTAGAGAATACAGTGCAAGACTTGGAAACAACTAGGACTAAAAAGTCATTTTGTGCTTAAATTTACACTCTATCTTCATGAAAGTACATAAGACAGCAGCAACAGAATGAAAATGGCAATATTCTACTGTACCTTCTGTACCCAGAGGGAAAACAGTCTGAACTTTGGGTTGCACGTAACACCATTCTGCAGATCAGAACCTACTTCTCTGTGAAGGACTCAGAATGAGGGCATGTCACTTCAGTCAGAAGTTTCAGTATCCATGGTGCTTGGTTATTATGCACACACCTCACTCACAACCCATTACCTCCAAACTCAGCTTGCTCTAGGAAATCTCAAGATGGAGAGATTCATGAATGACACAGCAATTAGTCCTTAAAATGCACAATTTTTGATAGACTATGCACATCAGTAGCTTCTGGAGGAAAAGGATAGTTTGTATTTTGAAAAGTGATAGAGTAGAAACTGACAGCTGTTGGGGTAACTGGAAAATGAGAAACAAGTGTCCTTTATTTGGTACCTGCTGCTTGTCTACACAAAGAAGAAATAGCAGTACTGTACATCTGCTTTGAGAAAAATACCATCCCATAACATGAAATGGCTTAGGTCCGCAATTCAAGCATTCTTGTGGCAGTGAGTAAACCCATTGGGATTCATGGAGGAATTAATGTGAAGGGTCGCTCTTTAATTCACAAGAGGAGGATGGAAGAGCAGCAATGATAAGAAGTTTGCTGTTTCTGGGACTCCAGAATTCTGTCCTTGACCTTTCTCTGAACAGACTGGCAGCCATTCTACATCCACATTTATCAGGAGGTGTATGGAGATGGGTGTATGGGGTGGAAAGTGCCTTTTTCTTGTTTTCTTTTTCTTTCTCTCCTTTTTTTTTTTTAAACAGAGGAGTCTCCTTTTCCTCTTTCTCCTTTGTACCCACAGATTTAGGAGAACAAGGTAATCGAGTGCAGTTTTAAACTAATAACAGTTCTCATGGGATGGGAAAAGCTCAATTTGAAAACACAAGATATCTGAACTTTGGAAAATGACTAGCTCTTCAGTTAAGTCACTGAATACTAATTAGAAAAATAAATTAATGTGGGACCAGTAAGAAGAATCCATTTATTAAGCTCCTTCTAATTTTAAATAAACAATTACTTGAATCAGTATTATTTACTGTATCAATTACTTTATCAGTTCTCAAATTATTTTTAAGATACTGCTGCAAATTACAGTTACTAAGTAACTGGTATTAAGGTAAAAACATTGAGATTGGAGTTTTTTCCAAGCTCTAGGACTTCCTCCTCTTAAATTACAGTAACTGTCTGGAAAAAAGCACCCGATAGTATTTTTTCTTAGATCATGCAGACATTTCCATGTCTAAGTTAGTGTCAAAGATAAGCAAAGGAAAATTTTATGGTGGAAATTCTACTATAATGTACAATCAGATATAATATGACAGAGAGAAAAGCTTTTATATATAAAATGTCACATAAAAACATTTTTTTGAGGGGGAAAAATAGCACTCACTCCCTTTAGATGTGATGCTGTACTGTAGTAGCTCACTGAAGAGTTCTTCCACTCACTTCAGTATGAAAACACAATCAAGATTTTTTTTGAAGACTCAACCTGTGCACTAATTAGGAGGGAAAGGAGTACCTCACAGCTCTTTTTCAGCAAAGGGGCCAGTCACCATGGCAAAAGCATGAGAGCTATAAAGGGGAATAAAAAGAATAATTTGAGCTGTAAGGATTCTGGAACAAATCCTTGTAAAAAAAAGATTGAGATATACCTGAAAAGATGAACCTTCTATTAGCAAGTAGGTGAAGACTGAAGCAGACTCTACTTAAGTAATACTGTGCAGCCCAGCACCGGAGTACTTGGAAAAAAACACGCAGGTAGCAGCATCTCATTTCTCATAAAGTAATGAAGAACAGACTCTTCAGTTTCTTTTTCCACTCATACCTAAGAGATGTTACGTTGTTTCCAAAGAAGATCACGTTAGCTTTGTACTGGAGCACCCAGAAGAAAAGGAGTTCGTAAACGAAATCAAAGGCAGTTTGGGGCTTCTGTCATACACATACCTGCAAAGAAGGTTGCGTGAACAGTATCCAAAGAGTGAAATTTAACTTTTAGGAAAAATTCAGATTGTGTGGAAAAATATAAAGCAACGAACTCCTGCCACTTAGCTCAAGGGGAGCATTTTTAAGTGCCATATACTGTATCTGCTTACATAAAGCATGAGAGACTGTTTTTCTCATGTTGTCATCTCTGTTTATTCAGCTAAAAGAACCAGGACTAATAAAAGAATGTTTTCCATGTGACAGGATTTGTGAGGAAGGGAAACTCAGGCTCCTTCCTACCCCTGTGATATGCTCCAGAATCTGTGACTGTAGCTTGCCAAATGAACTAAGCCCACGTTGCTGACAGTGAACTACAAACCAAATGCTTACTAATTATTTTTTTGGATGTAAGCATACAACATAGATCTTTCAGCATTATTTTGAAAAGGGAAATGAGGTGACAATAGTTTTTATAGTTTAGAATTTAGATTTAATAGCTTAGAGGCACTGAGAATGGCTGCCAGTCAGGACAAACAGATGCTCCTTAGAAAATTCAGACAGGTACAGAAAAAAATTCAAATCCTGATGCTGCTGGTGCAGTGACATTGCTTTTTGTTGTTGCTTTGTTCATGCCATCATCAAACAAAAAAAAAAAGAAAAATAAAATCTAGGTATTCGGAACCCACCCGATCTGAAGAGGTGACTTGTATGTTGTTCCTTGCAACAGTGAACAGCAGCAGCAGCAAGTTCCTCGCCCTGGACGGGAAAGCCTCCTCTTCCTTATGCTGCTGCATTTATATTAAACAGTAGATTCCATGTCTTGCTAGGGTTCAAAGCACGTGAAGTTTCTGTCCTGCAAATACCACACTAATGTGTTTTGGTCATGTATAAAACAGCACTTTTATCTATATGTTGAAGAGCTTTGTTTCTCACGCCGGTACTCGCTTGACTCAGAGGTCTAGTTTTATCAAGTGTCTGTCTCCTCTCCTGCTTAAAGTCTCAAGTGGTCCATGTAAACAAAACAGAGCTGAAAACAGTCTCTCTTCCTCTTCATAGAGCTGTTTTTATCGATATGCAGGATTTCCTGACAGTGTGGTGTTGGCTAAATGTAAAACAGGCAGAGGATGAGCTTCTGTGTTAAAAACCCAGTTGTCTAATGGTAGAAGGTCATCATTGGAGAAAAGCAGATACAAATACCTAGATATCAAGACAGAGAGGAAAAATAGTGGGTGTTAAAGCAAAGCAACAGACAGGCAGGGGCAACACAGCAGCTTCAGGCTCACGAGTCAGCAGCTAAAGCTATAAACAAGTTACTTGCTTTCAATCTTTGTATAGCACCCACACAACCATCCCTATTACAATGATCAGAAGAATCATTTTCATCGTGATCAAGCCCTTCAATGAAAAATTGTTATAAAGACGGCATTTTAATCTTTCCAAATAACTTTTGTTTTTCAAGACTCCTTTCAAAGACTTGCAATGTAAAACAAACATCAAGACACCCAAGCACAGGGATTTGGGGGACAGAGGAGCAGAGAAGAAGCTGGCAAAAAATTCTTCTTAATGGAGTAAACCCACTTGGAAATGACTCATTTCTTTAATCGAAATCAAAGATTTCGAGGAAGCAAAAGAGAAGCCACTAAGCCATGCCAGGTATGTGATTTGTCATCACCGTGCTGGAAGCTGGTTCAGCTTCTGGTGGGAGGAAATGGGCCAATATATTGTGCAAAGGGGATTCATAAATGTTGTACGTTATAAAGCAATCCAGAGCAAATGAAGCGTGTAACAAAATTAAGGTTTCTGGACATATGAAGAAGAGGAGTATTTCTTGGCTCATTTTTCTTAATACACAATTTTGAATGCAGCTGTGCTATACTTTGTAGGAGATATTGGTGGTAAGGATCTTTGTTAAGGCTTCCAAACTCAATTGTTAAAATTCAAAAGGCACTTCCCTTGTTCCAGAAAATCTGACTGCGGAAGTGCAAGTGTAACATCATGGGTGTATAGGATCTTTCAGCTCCTCCTACAGCTTGCTCTCCTACCACCGAGAAAAATGACAGGTCTTGCAGCACGTGACAAAAAAGGGAATGGATTAGTGGGCTCTGTCACATCCAGAATGTGCACACACGCTGTTCTGCCTTCGCTCTGCTGAGGCTGCTGTTACTTCGCTCTCTCTCAATCAGACACTGGTAGTGTCTACTGTCTACAGCTGTGTGTCACTGCCTGATCATTCTCCCATTGCCTTTATTTGCCAGTTGTATCCACAGCACAATCCAGTCAGTGAAGCTCTACTTTTTCTTCCCTTCCTCACCAATTAACTGTTTACAGATAAGAATTTCTTGCTGAGATGATTCAGTTTTGTCCCGTGTGTCTAGATGTCTCTTTCTCTACGTTTTTCATTTGTCTTTAAGGTATCATGCCTTTCCTTTCCTCTTTACTCCTACCTTGCTTTCTCCCCCTGCAGCTCTCCAAACTCTTTTTCAACACACCAGCAATGTTTCATCTTACGCAAATTCACCTTCCCCATTTGATTCACGCTTTTCCTTTGAATAACTTAAGCAACCTATTTCTACGTCTTGCTCCTTCCCACTCAACAGCTACCTTCTTGCCACTCATACTGCCCAAACTCTGATAATTTGCCGAGTATCTTTGATGAGCCAAAGTATCCGAGCAGCAACAATGCATGTTTGGGAGAGGTATCAATTTTGGATTTGAGGGGAATGAAGATGCAGAAGTTATCATCAATAGCAGAAAAGATCACAGCAGGCATTCTGTAACACACATTTTATGCCTCTCTTCTGAGGGACATCTTCATTTTCCTCATGGCATCCCACCCAACCCTTCTGTCTTTATTTTCATAGCCATTTGAGTTATCCTGACCTTACATTCTCTACTGTATCTCAAGGTGACACCAGTTTCTGTTTTGGTTATGCCAATTGCATCAATATCAAACATCTGATATCCAGCTCTCCAATAAAACTCCGTTTTGTCTCACAAGTGGCAAATGATCAAAACCAAAAGCCAGTAAAAATTCTGAGTTCCTTCCTAGAGCTGCCTTCTTTTGCAATGCTTGCACTATAGTACATCCGGTTACCAAATGATGCATTAGTGAATTTTTAGATCTCCTTGTGATTATTTAAGATGCAGACATGATTCTGGTGATACTTCAAAGGTCAGCCTTGTCACCACAGAAGTCCCTTAGCAGATTTGACTCTCTGATTTGGCTTTTATACGCAGATCAGTCATGTAAGATCAGCTCCTGGGAAGATATTGCTTCTCTGACTAGACCTATTTGAAACTGCTGCCTTTCTCTTTGAGAGTATAGCTTTTAGACTCCAGAAAATGAATTTGAAGGAGGAAGTGAAATAAAATTAATGGAGACAACAGAGGAGGTAGCAGTAGCTGACTTTCTTTTTATAATGATAACACGGGGAAACAAAGTATTATGACTATGTAGAGGAATTTGGTAAGGAGCCAGGAGAAGGACAGAACAGCCAGACTCTCCCCTTACATGTAATGAACTCTGAGCCCGTTCTTGCCAGTGAAACATGTTGTGGTGCCTGAAGCAGGCATCAGTACTGCCACTTTCAGGACCTGCTTTCTCCCTGCTGCATTTTGAGCTCTCAATACCCAAAATCAATCTTCACATACATCAGCTACAGCTAAAACCTGAAAATTTGATATTGCTGATACTGTAAAGTCTGCTGCTGTATAGAAACTCTGTTTATTCTGCAAAGCCTGCATGACATGCTAGACCGCCAAATGGTTACAACTGCTTTTTTGTCGTATCACTGGGTTGTAAAGACAGAAAGAGCACCTTAATGAGTTGTCGTTGCTGACAGGTTTGTGCAACAACATACATATTGTCCCTTCCATCACATGTTGGCAGACAGTGGTATGGATACGTAAGCAGAGGCAACAACTACGTCTCCTAATAGCAGCTCTGGCCTCATTCACACTGCCAGCTTCTGTTTATGGATTTAACCAACTAAAACATTCCCCAAACTGTTATGCAGGATGAAAAAAAAAGGGGTAGGGAATATCGCCAACTCAGACACTTTTCTTCCAGAAGTAGACAATTCACAAGATTTCAGGGAGGTAACCAATACAGGAATCTTGGTAGATTTCAATGCCAGAACTATATTACCAAATTCGCTGATGTAACTTGAGCATCAAGAAAATTGTCACACATTAGAAGACATTGCTTCATAGGCAAACCCCAGAGCGATCACAGCCGTGTGCCAAAACAGTGGTTTATGCTAGTTTTTCTTATTGTATATATCATCTCTGTAAGTCAGAGGTTAAAAAAAATGGTGGAAGACCAATGACTTTGAACATTTTACCTTGAACCAAATATGCAAAAGAGTACTTTAGCTTCTGCAGGGTGGACTACAGGTGTCCTACTGATTTGACTGAATTGAAAATATTTAAGTATGTAACAGATTATAAAATATGCCTGATATTCTTGCTCACACCAAAAAGCATTCTAGAAAAATATGTTGTGGGATAAATACAGAAAAATCATCCAAGGGCATGAAGGACTTTCGTTACATGCACTTACTCCCTTCCAGTAACACACACAGGAGAAACAGGTTCTACAATATCAGAGCATGGCACATGTCAACTCAGTGTATCTAAAAAAAAAACCAACAGTCTCTTTGTAAAGGGAATTTCTTAAAAGGAGATAACCTCTCCTCTCTTGTGATGCCAGAAATCAAACAGAAGTCTTAAAAAATAAAGCTCTGTCAGCATAAGCTTCCTGTATGGGAAATTCTGCTTGTATTTTCTGCTGGTAAAATGGGCTGATCTGAGACCCTCAAGCTGGGAAAAAAAGAAAGCCCAAACCATAAACCACTCTGACAAGGCAAAAGATTATTTGTTGAGCCACTATGTTCTTCTAGAATTTAGATTCCAGCTTTCACAGGAAGATGCAAGAGTGAAGCAAACTTACTTCAAAGTTTCAGCAAGGAAAAAGCTCTGCTGTACGTCGTCATAAGTAGGAGATGAGGAATAGACATCCTTGACACCAGAAAAGCCACCACTGACTCGGCAATACTTGTCAATTGCCTGTAAAGACGAAGGGAAAAGAAAAAGAGAATTTAATTGTACAGCAAAATTTGGAAACATTAAAGGATCAGGCTTGATCAACAAAGGAGGTAGCTCTTTCTGTGCTGCATTATTCTGTTGCGAATCTCCTTGTCAGAGGACTCTGTGGATGTTAACAGTTTATGCTCACCAAAAAAAAAAATAAAAAGAAACCGGACACATATAGATGCAAAATCCCTCCAGGGCTACTAACGACACCGTATTTGGCAACCTGCTAGATGCTAAGAAAGTATTCCGGGGAAGAGTACTTTCTTTCCTGAGTATTTGCTATTGACTGATACTGATGACAGGACATGAACTCGGTAGACTTTTTCTCTGAGCTGGTATGGCTCCTCATAGGTAACACTGAGTAGAGAATCCATCAGTCAGTCAACGCAACATGTGCTATGAGGTGCATAGGAAGCTGACAAATGTCCCTGGATTTTGCAGCTGGAAGAGTCTGAAGAGTTACAGGAACTCTGTGACTAGTAGCTAGTCATAGGCACTTACTGAAGGTAAGAATATAATACTGTACTCATCTTTAGGGACTGTTGATTTCATCTTATAAACTCTTCTAGCTGCTGCTTTCTCCCCACATTTCCATCTCCTACACGTGCTCTTCTCTGTTTCCCCTTTATGCAGTTGAAACTCAAGTGAGCTTGTGTGCTGGACTGCAGAAGAGCTCTTTATCTTTAAAGCATGAAGTTTAAATCCATAAACATTCCATGCAGAAAGGGGCCAATGGATCCGTGATTCACAAATCACTCAGCTAGTCAGCTCCAACACAGTACTGCAAAAAGCACAATGGAAGAGGAGGAGACTGGAAAGAATGCGTTAGTAGCTCAGAGCACCTCTCGCCTACACTTTCATTATTCCACTCACATGCATGACCTTACAGCACACAAGGATATCAGCCATTAAAACTGGCCCCAAAGAAACAACTCCGAAATGATTCAAAGGTTATTTGTGCTTCCCTGCTGCTTTGGCAGTGCTTCCTCAGCAGACACCAACTCTTTTAATAGATTCATGTAGGGACAGAAAAGTCACAGTGATGAAGGGAAATGTCTGGATGCTCAGGATGTCTGTCATTACCAACTACTGAACATAGCTACCTGTAGCTCAGTAATCTATGATTCAGGCCATTAGCCTGTATGAAGTTTCTCTCTGCATGGTGCTTCAGGCCCAGATTTTTGTTAATTCTGGTTTTTGCTAGTTATACTCAACAGAAGCTGAGGGGAGTCAAGGCAGGGGAGCAAGTAAGTTTTGAATTATGTCCCTTTTTATGCAGAGAAAACAAATTCAATCAAAACTAACTCTTCAAGGTCCTTATTATAGCCTTTGCATACTAGAAATACTAGGAAATAAAGAAGAATTTTCCATTGGATGCACACATGAAGAATGCTGTCAGATGCCATCACTGAAATTGGGAGGAAAAGTGAAAAGACAAATGAGTGATGTACCTAGGACAGTAAGTCACAGCACATCATGTACTACAGCTAACCTCCTCCTATTATACACTCTTACCCTGTGGAAATGTGAGGCTGTTCATGGACCAAAGAATAATCCAGACTGTACAAAGTTCTTTCAAATTTCTGAAGATCAAGATTTTTAAAGAAGCAAGAGGAGAGACTGGTGAAAGGATGTTACTGGAATGGCTGTGGCTCTAGAGCCTGAACTTATGCCAGGAAAGGTACAGTGTTGCTTGGCAAAATCTAATTCTTGCTGTAATTCCTTATCTCAGGTGGAGCTTTCTTCAAGTTCAGATGGAAATGCTCCCTTTTTTGTTGGAACTTGAGCCTAAAAGGAGAAAGTGTCTGGATTAATTCTCTTCAGATCTGGTTACTGGTGCAGGCTAGGACTACACTGAGCCTATTCAGATGCTGGGATTTGGGCTGACCAGGTTTTCTCTACAGTCTGGTGAGAAAGGTGTATGTGACACATCTAACCCAACCGCATCACATGCATGACAATCTCTTTGTCTGCATGCTGTTGCACACCACAAGTGATGCCAGCTATCACATGGCAGCCAAACAAAAAAAAAAAAAAGGGAAAGAAAAAAATTGCTTGCTTGACGGACGGACTTCTGAAGAAATAATGCATACGCTGTTTATGGAACCATTTGCACGTTCCTCCCCACAAGTCCTACAGCTGCTAGGCAGGTGTTACATGAATAAACAAGAGCCAAAGCACTTTTGCTTTCTACGCAGGAAATGAAGTGCCTCATCTTGCCACTATCCCCTTTTTTATAATACTGCAGAACACGACCTTGTCTCTGCTCCAGAGCATGGCAAGATGGGGTGGGGGAAGCTCCATTGGTTACAATCCCATCAGAATTTCTACCACGCATAGTCTGACCTTGCAGGTATCCCTCCGGTCAACAATTCAGCAACCTGACACTGTGTGCCACAGCTCAGACAGGAGAAACTTGCTAGTGATTGTGGCAAAATGAAAAGAAGGAACAAACGGTACTACTGTTAGGACATTGCCTCCTTCCTCCTCAAGAATTAAATCCCCAAGTCAGCATAAGACACACAACTCGTTTATTCTGGAGACTGCAGATAACAGATAGCGCTGGGATCCTGCTCTGTGCTGTAGAGGTCTCATACTTGGACAGCTAAGTGCAACACTGGGGAAGCTAGCAGGTCTAGAAGCCTGAAGAAAGAAAATGTGTGATTTACATTGATTTTTTTTTAAAACTTAGAATTACCAAGTAGTCTTGTACCTTCAGAAATCTCCCCTTGAGGAGACAGCCTCTGGCTAAACTGAAGTTCAGGATAGGCAGAGGATTTATCCCAGTTAATCAGAGACCTAGACACTGCAGGTAGTAACGAACTGTAGAGGAAAAATTCCTCTGAAAGATTGCTATACAGCTCTTCATCCAAATATGGATAAACAAATTGTCCTTGATTCAGAGGCGTATAGAACTTCAGGACGTTGGCTGACAAGTTTGGTGCTGCAGACAAGCTGCTTAAAATACACTTGAAATTTGATGTGCTCTGCCTTCACACAGATCTTGGAGTACTTGGTGTAGAGGCATCCGATTTGCCACCTGGATCCTCTTTCACTCAAGAGCTGAAGACCAGTTTCCTTGATAAAACGATGCAAAATTTATTGCACCTTAGAATACAAGGAAGTCCTAAATGACTGGAAGGGTATCAAGTTATGCCACTATTATGAGGCATTGGCAGGTTGAGTAATTTTAGGATGGCATACCTGATGTTAGTTCCAAACAATTACAGAAACATATCTAAAAAATACAGAAGAGTAAGAAGATAATTTACACCAATCGGTATGGTTTTATAGAAAACTATCTTGCTCACAAGCTTGATTTCATTCTTTGAGGTCTACAAATTGACAAATAAAGGTAACTGCAGAACTGTAATAAACTTAAAAGTTTCTAAAGCAATTGATACGGTACCATAAGATGCTACTATTAGACAAAGCAGCACTATACTATATCAATATCACTATCTTAACTTAAAAGTGACTGACAGTGCTTTAAGAACCAACTGGCAGTGTAAAATCATCACCAAATAGAGCTGCTTCTCACAGAGATCCAAGGAGTGGTCTGAAGTTTTGTCAATCACCGCAACACTGCTGCTGGCAAAAACGACATAGGTAAGTAACAGCAGACAGCGTAATCTGCTCGTAACTGGGCCCCAAATAAAATAAGTTTCATCTAACCAGCCACATAATATCCTAAATCTAGACATAAAGGCTCTGCAACTCCAGAACCAGATTAGCCTGGAAAGCAGAGACACTTCAAAGAATTTGGTGGCCACATGAGACAATTCAGTATGAGTTCCTCCTAGGCTACTGTGGCAGGTGCACACACAGGGACAGTAAACAGTAGCAGGGATATAATTTTACTTTTGCATAGGGCTGCAGGTAAAGTCAAAACTGGAATATGCAATTCTAGAATTAATTTTTAAAAAAGGATGATGAACTGATGTCAGTGCAGACATTTGGAGAAAATGCTTTACAGCGAGGCACAATACCATTTGTTTAGCATCTTAAGTAGATTCAGTAGTAAGTTTATTACAATCTATTAAAACTCTTTGGAAAGAAAACATGGGGGAATAAAAGACATTTTAATATGGTATAGGAAGTCATAGGAAATTCCTGTGATTGATGGTTGAAACTAGACAAATTCAAATGGGAAATAAAGCATGTATTTTTAACAGCACAAGTAATTAAATAATGGAAAAAACTACCAAAAGTAGTGGATTTTCCAGTTCCCTTTATTCAAGTCAAGAGTAGAGCAGAATAACATGCAATCGTGTACTCTTGCCAAATACATGCATCTCGGCTCAGAAATGACACAAAGTGAAATTTCAGGGCCTGTGATATACAGAGAGGTCAGAGTTGATCTAAGTTCTTTGGAAATAAATTGGAGGTGCCTCTAGATCAGCTCCCAGCTCCCTCAGTTCCTCTGAGGGTGTTTTTGTGATTGTGTGTGTGACTCTTCTTGACTATGCCAACAACATGCTCATAAAAACCATGCCAGTTTCTTCACCAGTTGTGGTACTCAGTTTCCAACCCATGAACTGTGAACTCATATTTCTTTCACCTCCAACCTATGCCTGGCTCTTTTCTGTCTGCTTTACTAAGTAGAGAGCTATAGGTCTTTCCATTCCATCTTACTGTCATTCCTCAATTTGCCTGAAGTTAGCCCGAACTTGAGGTCTTGTATATTATTTTCACTGGAAGTAGAAACTCTGAACGAACTCTGCAGCCTCCATGGTGCAATCCTACTTAGTCACATACGCAAGTCCCCAGCAAATAGTTGAACCCTTTATTCACACAGCTTAGATTAGTAATTGGCTTTACATGCCTATAGTGAAGTGGCGGTTCTTATTGCTTTCAAATAATTAGCCTGAAAAGGATTTTAGTAATTTTCTGTATTTACCCTGAGTATCTTGCATGTGTATTTCTGTAACACTTCAGCCAGCCCTCCAGCGTACCATCATCCAATCTGGCTGGCCCCATACAATTGAAATGGGTGTTTTCTCTAGTGCTAAGTACAGTATTAGGGAGAATTAGCGTTTTTTTTATTAGGAAAGAGATAGAGACCCTGTCACAGGGATTTATGATCAATGAGGGAATATAAGAGTCAACCTCCTGTTTTTTACCTACAGCCAATGGATTTGGAGAGATGTGACAAAACAGGCCTTGGTCAAAGCACATCTGCACTAAAATGCCCAAGTTTCGTCCAAAAATCTAGATAATAAAGCCAAAAAGAAGCTGTCAATGGTGAAACAAATAAAGAAAGTACAGCACAAAGATCTGCATACATGCACAATCCAGCTTGCTGTGCAAATTCCCACTGACAAAAGGCAGAGAGAGATCTGGGCTGGAAGTGCTAAAGAAACTTAAGTAATGCCCAGAGAAGCTGTGGATGCCCCATTCCTGGAAGTCTTCAAGGCCAGATGGGATAAGGCTTTAAGCAACATGGTCTAGTGGAAGGTGTCCCTGCCCATGGAAGAGGGGATCGAACTGGATGATCTTTAAGGTCCCTTCCAACCAAACCATTCTATGATTCTATGAATGCAGTATACTTAAAAGCCAGGTGGTTCTGCAATGCATCCTGATCATCTCTGAAGAGTTTTTAAAATGACAGAAGCAGACCTCTAACGTATCAATGAACTAACCCAAATCCATTCAGGTAGGGATGTATTCATTCATTCAAAGAAGCAAAGGAGGGAGACCACCAAGAACTCAGTCATGAAACACCAGGTTACACCAGGTTCAATGTAGAAAAATAAGACCATTTAGAACTCAGAAAAAAACTCAGTTTCCCCAAAAGTTTAAAAGAATGACTAGACTTCTGATGAAGAAACTATCATTCACCATGAGAAGTCTGTAATAGAGATTTCAAAGTATGCTTCAGTGGTTGAAAGGTAAAAGGAAAGCAAATACAGACAGTGTTATACAAGAGCAGCAAGCCAACTGCTGTGTGTGTCATATCAGACTCTTTTCTCTTTAAAAATGGAGGAATAAACACAACCAGAGCTGTGTGTGGTAGGAAAGAAGGAAAAGTAGTGAGTAGGTGTGAGGACTAAACACAAGAAATTATTATCTATACGCAGGGAACAGAAAACCCTAGGGAACAAAAAGCTTCCCAAGCTTCTATGTTAGTATGATGGTGGGGTAAGAAAATCTGTAATCATGGGAAGGAGGGGTATGCAAAACCATTTACAACGAGTTCAAAAATATTTTACAGTTATGTTGGAAAAAAAAACCCTTTTTATTGAGGAGTAAGCAAAAAAAGGCACTCTGTAAGGACCGAGGCAGTTAAGCACATGGGCTGCTTGATTTACACAACTTTGATGCAGGTTGACAGAAGGATAAAATAAAATCCTACGCTGCACACAGACAAACTGGAGGCAGTGGAGGAGGAAGGGAGGGTTTAGTTTGTAAGCATGAATGGGGACCAAGATATGAAGGCAAATGTAGAAAACTGAACAAAATGCAATTCAAGGACACGCTTTGCAGTGTGCTGAAGAGACAGATCCTGACCTGAAAAAATTTACATTTGTGAATTCTTTAACCTAGTACAAAGGACCCAATCTCAGCTTGGATCATCCAGCCATAGCTTCTGACAGGAGATGATGTTAGATCAGCAAGCATTTGTAGTACACACATTGGCAAGGAGTAGGTTACTAAATTAGTTTCTTTGTCATATTAGAAACATGCATAGTTTGGGCAGAAGGGATGATGTGACTCAACGTTTGATGTTTTAGAGAGAACAGCAATGCATTCTGGGATACAAATGTGGAACCTCTCTCCAGAATAACATAATGTTGGTTATAACAAAAAAGTTTACAAAGCAAAACCTAACCAAGACTAAGACACAATCTTAAAATACTTGGACTCTTCTACGTGACTGTAACTGTGCTGAGGGAAGGACAGGGACCTCAGCTAAATATTCTGAACCTGTCTTAACTGTCTTCCACCTGATGCATACAGGCTTTTCAACAGATCTCTTCCTCCAAGTACTTTTTCTGGGTTTCTTGCCTCTGGAATGAAACTGATTTTCACCTGCAGAATAAAGTTTCTCCAGGCTCTTGGTTCGTCTCTTCCTTTGCTCATCCCTCATCTCCTTTGGCTGTGGTCAAAGTTATTTCATTAGTGTCTTGTTATCTTTAATGTTTATTCTCATCTCTGAAACTGGCTTTGAGCTGTGATTCCAAAGACTGCTGGAGCTGTAGCAGGGAAGTGGAGGGTCTGTAATAATCCACAGATCTTGAAGACAACCAGAAAATTGCTTGGCCAGCAAACGAGTTTTGCACGAGCCCAGTACAGCCCAGCAGGTGGAAGCAGTGAGACCATGAGACCAAAAGAGGCTTGCAAGTTCAGCCCCAGGAAGTATTTAAAATGCAGTCTTTTGGGGATTACAGATAAATTTTTACAATTAGGATATTATATTTTCATGTGAAAATGAAGCCTAGTTATTCTTATAGCCCATAATCTATGACTACCAGACAAAGGAGTTATCCATCTACGTACAAAGGATGAGTGAAGGAAGGCCATGAGCACAGATCTGTGTCAAGAGTCTTACAATGAATCTAGACTTCTGTAGACCAGTACAAGTATTTCCAATAAGAAAGACTCAGATGCACTTTCACACTCGGGAATTTGATTAAAACATTCAACAACTAGATTTAAACCCAGGAAAGCAGCTATACAAAAAAAAAAGCAACAATCTCTAAAATACCTTAGCAACAATTTTTAAGTTCTGCCTTATGTGCCATTACTTACTGACCTTCTTTTATGATCTACTTCCTGTGATGCTGTATTTTTTTATTAGAATTGAGTAAATCTAAACTGACTAGCAATTTTTTCTCCTTCCAATCAGACAACTAAGAAAACAAAAAGCCAGGACACCAGCCCACATATACTTATGTACATGCTATCTAGTCTACAAAGCATCTGAGAAAGTTGTCCAACCACTTGTGTTTTAATAGTCAACCAAGAAGAAACCATAAGAATAGCTTTGTCTTTTAATTTTAACTGAGTGTGAACAGATACCGAACAAAGTTATCTATAATACACTTTCATTTCCCAAGATAAGTTACCCCTCTCGGGGGCTGTGGACTACTGATAACAGTAGAAGTCATGATCAGTGGATTCTATTTCCATGCCTAAAACTCATCAGCTGTATAATGCTGAACACATCTCTCAACTGTGCATCTGATTCACCAGCTGCAAAACAGGAATAACTGTGCACACTACCATATGTACCTTAGCTTACAGGAACTCGTGAAAATCAATTACTATTTGAAGTGTTTCAGTACCACAAGATGAAAGTGGCTACAAAAGGAAAATACATAGAATTCAATTAATGACAGATAATTAATACAGTTACCTGCGTTGCCTCCCAGCCCCACTGCCTGTACTTGGGATCGTGGGTGAATCTCCACATATACCAGTAGGTCTCAATCACTTCTGGTCTTAGGATGTAATACTTCTCATTCTGCCGCACTGCCACAGCCTCTACGCCACCATCAAATTTGAATGCTTCTGGACCCAGCTTTAATGCTGCAGAGGAAAGGAAAAGAAAAAAAAAAAGAAAGAAAAAATTTATTCCTTAACAGTCTTCGCAGGAAGGGTAGATAGGAGACTGCTATATCCCAAGCATGTGAGAAAAGCAGAAACTAGCTTGTCTTTGAGGAGTCTCGTAAATATTTCCTATTGTTGAGGCCTATAATTTTTCTAATGAATAATTTATCCAGTCCCTGTGAGAAAACTACCTATCTTGACAGCAGTACAGTAATCCTCTTGAAAACTAAGGAAATGCTAGGAATATAAAGACATTAACACATTCAATTATAGGATAAAATTAAAGTGACTGACATCAGTTCTTTACAAGTAAAATTAAAAAAAAGGGGTCAACAGAGGTTTTGATGTGCTTTGATCCCACCCAGCACAGCAGGGAAAGATCTTAGGACAAAACCAGGTACCACCATCTCAAATAACCTGCATCTTTATCCAAACTCTCTTGGTTTAGGGAAGTGCTGTCAGGCCACCATAACTGATGTGCTTCATAACGTGATCCTCAAGTAAAGGGTTTACAACTAGGCAGTGAAAACTTAGCCACACCTGAAAATAAATCTCTGAACTAAGAGATTCACTATTTCAGTCCTTAAAAGAAGCTGTAATGGCCCTGTGCCAGCATCTGGAAGACTATTCATATAATAAGGAGGTACCTGTAGAAAAATTGTCCATAACGTGAAGATGCAATTACTTTTTGGTTTTTTTTTTTTTTTTTTTTTTTTTTATTATACAACTACACATTATTCCTAAATTTGACATAAATAACGCACTCTTACCTACAGCTGCACCCCACCCTCTGCTTTGGCAGAGAATTTTTAAGGCGCTGAACTTCGAAGCTGCACTTGAGCTTTAAAAATGATCAAAGTAATTAATCATGTAACTCCTATGGGCTAGAGATTCAAATTAACCATGGTCTCATAAGGCTGAAAGGAGAACCTTAGAATACTACAATGAAAAATCTGAGCACCTCCCAGTGCATGCCCCAGCAGAGAATCTCCCCAAAAAGTTCCTTAATCTTTTTGTTTCAAGGGAGTACAGCTCTTGATGCCAACAGAAAAAAGCACCACTCTCTGCTTCAGCCACATGCGTGCTAAGGAAAACTCCATCAAGAAATGTTTATGATGTTTCTTTCAAAATAGGCCATTTTACCAGTTTTAGTAAAAAAAATTTACAAATTTTACTGCAAAATCAATGAGATTAGATACAGAGTTCTACCTATCCAAAATTAAGAAGATAAGAATGGCCATACTGGACCAGATGGAAGTTCTGTCTGTCCAGTATCACATCTCCAACAATGGCCAAAATCAGAGAAGTACGGGGAAAAGGAAGAACAGGCTAAGTATATGAGATACCTTTTTGCAGCTTCTCTACCAGTCTCCAATTTTTTTGAGCTCAAGGCTTCTCCCAAACTAGACATACTTTTTCTGTGTGGTCATCTGAGTAGATTTATTTCCCAAGTACTTATCTGGTGTTTCCTGAAACCTGTGTAAGCCTTAAGCATCCAAAACAACCCCTGCTAAGGTGTTCCACATCTCTAATACCTCTTTGGTGTAGAACCACTTTTTTTGTTCTTTTCCATTTTCAGCTTGGTTCCTGCTGGACTCATTCAACAGTCTCTAGGTCTTGTCTTGGAGAAGAGAGTGAACAACCGATTCCTATCCACTCTCTCCAGTCCCCTGGTGATTTTGCAAATACCTAAAATGTCCCTTTTCCACACTGAAGAATACCATCCAGTTCAGTTGTTCCTTGAACAGAAACTGTTTCATATCTTTCATTTTCCTTCTAGCCTTTCTCTGCAGCTCTTCCAATTCTATTATAACCTTTGTGAAATGAGAGGACCAGCCTGAATATAGCACTAAAAGTGTGGACAAGATTAATACAGTGACATAGTGACATTTTCTATTTTGCTCTTTCTTACTTTGTTTTTCCTGTCTGCTATGGAGCTGACATTTTCATAATCTCAACACCAATTTCCTGAGTTGTAATGGTCAGTTAAGAGTTTATCATTTTATATGTGAGGTTAGGAGTAGATATTTCTTAGGTGCCTCACTTTACATTTAACTACACTGAATTTAATTTAGTAATTTATTACAAATTACTGAATCTCATAAGGTCCTTATGTAATTTTTCAGCTTTCTTCCATCCTTGCTATCCTGAACAGCTTTTTCTTTTCTGTTATTATCAGCACACTTACCTTACTGTTCATGATCTTTTATATACATGTATATATTTTTATTTTTATATACATATATACACATATTAAGACATAAAATATAAATACACTATACATTTATACACATCTATTCATATATGTGTATAAACACATATCAAATATATCAGAGTACCACTGGTTAACCACCATTCATCCGTTGCAAGAGCTGACTATTTACCTCTACCCTATTTGTTATACTACAACCATTTTTTTTCCCTCCATGCAGGTACTTGCTGCTTATGCAGTAGCTGCTTAATATCCTTAAAGGGCCTTAGCAGAGAACTTTTGAAAATGCCTTTTGGAAATCAGGTAAACCATGTCAGCTGTATTACTCTTATCCACCAAAGCAGCTGGATTTCAGGCAGTTCTAGTGAGGCATCACCACAGAAACTGTGGCACCTTCTCTTGCTTTGTAGCCTGCTGGTGCATTAAATCTTTAACTATTTACTCATATCTACTTCTCATGTTATTGAGCCCACCAAGAAATTATACCACCCAAGGATGAGTGACCCCTGCATATTGTGACAGTCTCACTGAATTTTTATCTGAAACCAAAAAAGTAAAATTAATCACAGCACTTCTACTAATAGCTGACTAAAGTAAAGAAGCTACTATGAACATAGTACCTTTCAGGGGAGCACTCTTCTAAACAAATAAGGCCATTTTACAATGCTATAGTGGTCACACTTTAATCCCGGTATATCCAGCCTATTGATAGGCTATAGTCTAGGCATGAAGAGCAGATGAGAAACAGTTTCACATCATAGTGCGAAATTGCAAAGCTATACTAGAACCATTTAAAAAGAGATTTTAACTGATTTAAATTTGACTTCAATGAGAGCTGTATTTAGCACTGCTGAAAATAAGGGCAAATCCTCGGATATAGTATTTATATATCTAATTTTAGAAATAATTTTGAAAAAATTGTTTATTTTTTTGTGTGTTCCTTTAAGACTACAGTCCATCTAGCAATAAATTTCCTGAAAGTAAGAAAGGATTCATAATTATAATAATACTTTCTAGGCTCTAACTCTCATAAAATTTGAGGAAGAGAATCTCCAAGATACTTTCGTTTGAGACTCCCTGAACCATTCCATCAATGCACACTGTTATTTTATACTTCTTAGAAAAACAAGTAATTATTCTTATTTCTTCATCTTTGCCTGTTTAGCTGCTTACTGACAGTCTTGGGACAGAGGCAGCATCTACTCATATCCTTACAATGTCTCAGCTGAAATCTTAGTCATTTGGCTTATTCTGCATTGGAATTGTCACACGTATAAAACCAGCTAAAGCTGAACCTAGATTCTGAGGATAGTTCTTGTCAAGAAACTTTAAAGATGTACAAAAAACTTCATCCTAAAATAATCTGCCTATAGTCAGTCAGTATTTCACATACCATCAAGCTAATGGCTGGGAAAATTCTTATGTATAAAGGATGGTATATTTTACTAAAAATACTGTGTGCTATAAATCAGCACATGCTGCCATCTATATAGATAATTTTGCTTATTAATCTAACCTCTACAATACCTATGAAAGCTAATTATTCACACTGATTTGTTAGTGGTCTTTCTAGTCTTTCAATTTCATCAGACACCTTTTTTTTTTTTTACCATTTATGGATTTCGCATTACCAGTTATTTTATGCTTTTGCCATGTTTCTCAGTGGTGCACATTAAGCATGTAAAACAAAGAACTAATCCCCAGTAACTGGAATACCTCAAGATGTGCTGTCCACACACAAGCTTATACGTTGAGAAACCTTGCACTGTAAGCACATGAACATTGCACAGTGCCCACTGAGAGCATTATGATTCTTTGTGCCATGCCGGTACATCGGCATAGAAGTCAGAGCATGCCTTCTATCTTTGGTTCTCTCCATCTTCTCTCCAAATCAAAAGCACACTGGACTACAGAAAAATCTTGAAATCTCTTGTCATAGGGTGGGAGATTTAGGATGACTGCAGCAGTAACCTATCAATAGGTTATGGTACAGAAAAAAGCAGAGTAGGGAGGAAGCAGAAGCATGTGTAGATTATACATCACAAGACTATTTTGGTTACAGTTAAGTTTTCTGACTTTGACTGTCAATAAGCCCTTTAAAATCCTTGGTGTTTCCAAGGGGTGCCACATGGATTCACAATTTCCTGAAGAGAGGAAGAGCCTTGGGGCTCTCATGCCAACAAGTTCAACGCATCCTGGAAACACAAATCCCTTGCTCAGAGGCAGATAAGAAACAGACCTGGACCCCTCCTGCCTTCGCCTTCCAAAGACCATCAGGTGCCTCTAGCTGGTGAATTAGAAAGGCATCCTACAGGGAGTGCTACAGACTGATCCTCAGCTTAAGCAGAATCTACAGGGATTTTCACAGAGCCATGGGAAGTGCCTGAGCTTCTCAGGATATCCCCAGTCACTTCTCCAGCCTACAACTCAGGAGTCTGAGGTCTTTTCTCAGATATCGCTGGAGAACACTGACAGGTGAATCAGATTATCAGAGAGACTGTGTCCCTGCATAAACCTCTCATTGATTACATGGCAGTGATGACAGTTGTCACTGGGACATAATGCCCATGGAAATACACCAGGAATGGCCGCAAGGACTTTTCAACTTCTCTGTACTAATTAGCACTGTGGAGCAGACAGCATCATGAGAGATGAAATGAGTAACTGAAGTGCTGACAGAATGCAATCTGGTGGGAAAAGGAATACAAAGGATGGAGCAACATCTAGAAGGATAAAGGCAAAACTTGTAACAAGCCATATAAGAGAAAGCTGTCACATGTAGACTGACCACCTTATATTTGGACAATGAGACTTGTGCCTGATGTGAGAAAATAGCGTGTGTAGGATTGATTAGTATTAATCTTAGGATTAATCCTGACTAAAGCAGCAGCAACTACTAATGATAATGGTGTTGGGTAATGAGGAAGAAACAGAGTAGTGTGGGCGGAGATCTTGACCCAGCAAGGCATGTAGGTGCAATAGGCTGTGGCCTCTGTAAGATAGCTTCATAGATCTGAGGTTGGTCTTATTTATACGTTGGGAGACGTGGCACATTGTCATACCAGCAACGATCTGTCCAAAAGGTGATGGTGTGCTTTAAATTGTGCCACACTTTCAATCAAGTTAAGAAATGCCCTAAAATCTTCAGCAAGCCCCAATGATGCACCGTGAGCACCCAAAAAACTTGCAAGGGATCACTGATACACATTCCAGGGGACTAAGGAATACCCAAAATGTCAGTGAAAAGCTGTCATTCCAATGATGCCAGGGCTAAGGCAAAAAAGTCAGTCTACAACATTACTGTGCAAATCTGTGACCAGGTGGCAACTTTCGCTGGTTGCATGGCAAAGCGATTGCTGTTGCCAAAATACAAAGAAAGGATGGGCAGCGAAGGGTATTTTTTCACCAGTAAAGAGGTGAAAAAGCAGGATGCTTTTGTACCTGCACGGTGGTCCTCAATCCTCCCCAAATAATTTGTGGCAAAACACACATCTTTTCATGATGCATCTGGGGAACATAAAAGAAGTATTTCAGTTGAGGAATGTGTCAGAATATGTTTGGGAGCACTGTAACCCAGCTAGGCTTGTGTGGGATTGCTGCAACACAATCTGCTCCTCCACCTGTCAGCTGGGAGAGGAGGGTATAACTGCCTGCTGGGACAATAGCTCCTAAACACCACAAAGATCTACTGAGAGCACAAACTGGATGGTGACAGAATGCTTGACATCAATGGGTAGACAAGAAAGCGGAGAAGGATTCATAATGGCCTAAGACCTTAAGGGTCTTAGAAGCCATCAGCAGAAGCCAATGCATCCAAGGGACCAGAGAGATGGTCTTAGAAATTATGAGAGTCTGGGCAACCATAATTCAACAGGTAACTTCTCACATCAGTTGTGGTAACTTCAGTCCCAAAGGCAAGTAAATGAAGAAGAGAGGCAAACAGACAAGAACAAGTGAAAAGGCTGTATTAGCTTCACAAAATAAGTAAAGTCTTGTTTTGTTGAAGGCAGCTGAGTCACTACAAATGTTCTGCCTTATAGAGGGTGATTGAGTTTGTCTGAAGACATAGGGTAATGTACAAGGGGGAAAAGTGACCTGAGAGGATACTATTATTACCTTAAAAAATCTTAATACAGCAAGAATCTCCAGCCAACAAATGTCATGGCAGAAAATCACCTCAATGCTAAATAGGAATGTGGACTGTCACTGCAAGACAAGAGCATTTTACTTACTATGACACTGCTAAAATCTGCCTAGATCAAAGTTACTGCAATGGAACTTATCTGAAAAACTAGAAGTCCTGGATTCTAAATCATCTGTCATGTCACCATGTTTATTTATTTATGCAAGACAGGGAAAGTGTGATTTCAAACCAGAATTTCAGGAGATGGCATTCCATGATTTATACGATAACATTATTGTAAAGATAGTAGCAAATACAGAATTTGTTAGCCTGAAGCCTTCTGAAATATCGAGGTTTTTTTTTTTATATAATCAGGCTTTCATACCTGCAATATGTGCAACAGGTTGCCGATAGCTGGCAATACCCTTCTTTTACAGAAATGCTTTTATTCTGTGAAATTCCATTTCTATTTTGCTGAGACTGGACCTTGAAACAGGTTTTTTTTTTCCTCATGCCCAGCCCTTATGGAAATTTAGGCTGCTTCATAAAGTAGTATTTTTATACTAAAATATTATAAAACCAGGCACATACTGGAGTTTATTATGAGCAACCCTGGGAAGACACAGGAAAGGACAGCTCTGGTTGGTTTATCTGAAGAAAAGATCTCTATCCTCAGCACACAGGCTCAGCACCTTGCTGTCTCCTCTCGGGACACCAAATAGCGCAAGAGTTCTCCCAAGCCTATAGGAGAAAGATACCAGGCTCTCCCCTTTGCTGATTGAAACATAAACCTATCAGCTGAACCAGGATGACTGTCTGACCTCTCAAAGAGAGTTTTTTTCTGCAACCAGCTAGTTCTGTCATTAAAACGCACAATTTTGTCTCAAATCCTACTGTTAAAGCATAAGGAAGAAGTTCACATTTTGCACCTAACAGTTCTTTATTTTCTTTGAAAAATCAGTCCAGGAAAAAAAAAAAGGAAAAAAACCCACATCCCTGAGATTGCATGACCGAACAAAAGAAAACTAGGCCACTGCAAATTTATAGCTGTCTACAACTTTCAGTCTGCTTCTTGCATGTGTGTGTTCTTATACAGTCATTAAATATGCAACTGAAACTTTTATCCCTCCCATCTTTTGACTTATTTAAGGTACAGATCAAACACCTGAAGGAATAAAATTAGGACTGCACAAACAACTGTAAATTTAGCATTGCTTATTTTTGAGTGTCAAATTAAACATTTAAATGCAGTTTTTCAGAATGCAACAATAGCTACTATGCCCTACCTTCTCCTTAAGCATCCTCATACTTTTTTCCTTCTCCTTTTTTTTTAATGCTGTTGCTACCCAGGTAAAAGTATCACTTATGTGATTCAATTCCTTAAAATGACAGGCAATTATACAATGATATTATGTAATCCTGTGAATAAATACCTGAATTCTCATCTTAAAACTGCTTGAGTTTTAGCTACCATTACTTCTACTAGGAAGTTATTTCAGAAGTTCACTTATCTGATGGCTACACAAAGCCATTTCTAATTTCCAACCTACATTTATTTATAGCAAACTTACAAATCTTGCTCTTGGTACAACTGTGTTGTTTATATCTTAAAATAACTCTATTTCTTTTCAGTGTTTACCCCTTGAGATGACAATAAATTTACTGCCATCTTTGGCATTATTTTTCTAGTCTGAGCAGGCCAACCTCTGTTATTTTCCCATTGGAAGACAAAAGCTCTGTTGCTGTCATCATTCTGTTGGTCCTTCTCTGCATTTGTTCCGCTTGAAATTCAGATTTGTACAGCGTATTCTGGATGACAAGTTATACGTGTCTTCTAAGGCGGTGTTAATATTCTCTAATCTGTGCTGAAAATTCTTTACCTGATACAGACTAGGACTGCACTTGCATTTTTCAACTCGCAGTTTAGAGAAAGAGCTCCTGCCCTTTTTCTAGTGAACTTATTTCTGATAGTCCAGTCCTCAAGATCTTCCTGTTTACTATTCTGAGACTCTTCTGTTTTAATTGTGTCTTATGACTTTATGGACGCTGTAAGTGTAATCAGCATGCTTCGACTTCATGCATAAAGGTCACAATTAAAGATGTAGAATAAACCCAGTCCAAAAGACTGAACTTGAGAAACTTCCAGCCCAACAGTGAAGTCTGATATTGCCTCCTCACTAGTCAGGTCTTTGGCCATCTCACAGTTTGCATACTAATCTTCATCCTTTATAGTTTAGTTGTACTTACCCGGAATGTACTATTACGAAAAACAGTAAAAGGTATAAATTTTTCACTCTACATATCTGTATGAACAGTATATATGAAATGAAAAACTGCCTTATATATCTGTGAGGACAAGAGTTCACACATAGTCCTTCCTCTCCGCATCCGTATAACCTATCTTGGCTGACTGATCCAAAAATAGGGATAAACGTGCAGGAAGGAACCATATAAAGTCTGGTTTTACCTTTACTCACCATGATGTAGATCAGAAGTGTTAAAAATGTTAAAAAATGTTAAAAAAACCCCATATACTGGTATAAAAACAGTGCATGTTAGACAAGGCATAGGTCCATAACAAATGTTAACAATAATGATGACAATTGCTATATTTCAACTACTGAAATAACTACATTAGCAATTTATCTTACTTGTCCTGTCATATGACTCATGACACGTATGTGCAATTTCAGCTCCAAGCTGCAAATAATGTCCAGCTCTATCATCTCTGGAACCATCTGCTCCAAGGGCAAACATTCCCCCTGCAAAACAGGTCAAATGGCCCATCTTTCTTTCAAGGTGCCCGTTCTTCCACTCCCCAATGAAGGTCAGTCCTCCATTGGACTTTCTGATGAGATGTTTTTCTATGGCCTACAAAAAGATTAAGAGAACTTTCAAATACTGTTTCACATGCAAGTTTACATACTAACTCTCCTTCAAAGAATAAAGTACTGTTTTCAAAACAAAAAGAATTTTTTTCTTCTTTCAAATTCGCTGCTGAGCACTACAGGAGCAAACAGCTACAAGAATATCATTTCAATGCACACAAAAAAATACCCTAACTGCTAAACGATGCTAATGAGACCAAACATAGGAAAATCACTACACAGATACCATTGTACTTTTAGCTGAGAATTCAGCACATATTTTATGGCTCAAACAATGTTTGTCTACCTGTTAACTCTGAGGAGTACCTATTTGCTCTGCTGTACAATCTGTGTGTACTCAGAAAATACATCCATGCTGGAAATTTTTGGTTAGCAACATATATAAAGGCAGCACCTATATTCTCAGTCAGTCTTTAATAGGAAGTGACTGGGATGCTCCAGCCACCTTCCAGGTGCTTCTCCATAGCAGCTTTCCGATAGCACATGGTCAAAGGATGGGTGAGGGTTAGAGGAGCTGGTCACAAAAACATTTTTATTTTATAGGTGAGGCAACTGCTGCTTTTTCTTTGCACATTTGTAGCAATGTATGTTGTTGCTTGTGACCTATAAATGGTATTCTTCTGGTAGTAGGAAGGAGAATAGCTGACCTAACTTTCCGAAGTTTGAAAACTCCAGGGAACAACACATTTACTTCAGTCTCCTTCAGAGTGGTTCACAATCCCCATCAATCTACCGTAGTACTTACCATCTTTAGCATTAGACAGTTTTTATTGTAACTAGAAACTCGTTACAGTTTGAGTCCTATAATAATAGACAATTTTCTTCTTTACTAAAGAGACATTATTCCTATCTTCTTTCCAGAAATCTCCTTTGTACTTACACACATAACCATCTGATGGGTTTGCAACTTCCTTCGAAATGCATGACCTGTGACTGGTCAGAGTAGTCCAAGGCTGATTAGAGTTGCAGGATTAAAGTGCTATTAAAAAGGCATTTACTACTCTCCTTGCCATGCACAAGATCTATTACAGAAGTGAATTACTACCCCTCTCCGTTACTCTTCTGGTATCTACAACGAATTACACCCCAAATGTCCACAACCATATTTTGCACTAAAACTAGATATAATGAGAACACGCAGGCAGAGGATCCCGCGTATAACTAAAGTGGTTATTGTGGACGTGGAGGTCATGTCTGCTATGCACAGTTGTCTCCTTGCTATCTACACAGTGCAAACTACGCAGTTCACTACAATACAGATTCAAACAATAAATACATAGATTAATCAGCTTGCAACTTCTAATTCAGGTTTAAAAGTGGACAGTGAAATAGCTTTTCCCTCTAAACAAAAAGTGAGGCTGTCTTGTTTTCAAGAAAATAGAGAAATGAAAAGCTTCAAGCTCTTCTGTGGCTGTAGTAGGTGTTTCAACTTTGTTTTTTTTAAGATGATGCTTAAGTGATACAGGACTATTAAAGCAGCCATATTGAACTCAGCAATATTTAATAACCTGGAATTCCTCCATCCAGGTACAGAAATAACATCTGACAGCCTTCCAAAGTTGTCTTCAACAAAAAACTTTTCTAAAAATTATTGAAATTATAGTTAGAAAAGGCAGAATTTGTAGGATTAGGAACCTCATCTGGGGAAGATTACAGGGAGAAGACTGCATTATCACCAGTAGGGCCCTGCTCCTTACTTGCACTGTGGACCGAGCCATCATTTGGATGGTGACATTTCTCCACTGCCCTATAGTGAGCCTGTGCGTTCTGAAGGTAATGAGAGAGAAGTGATAGTCTGCATTCCTTTTGGGTTAATTTCTTCACTAATACCACTGACAGATCTGAAGTTTGTGCTTATGGCAGGATCAAGCCAGAAGAACGCAGAACTAACCGACAGAGCAGAAACTAAGAAGTCTCTGACAGCTGCCAGAGTGGTCATTTAACAATCATGCAAATCGGCTTTGAGGACTGGCATGATACCGTGGCTTCTGCTGCTAGGGAGCTTCATTTGTTCTGTACAAGCTTCATTTGTTCTGAAAGTACTGGTTTAGGAAAGATCAGATCTGCTGAAAACTCTGCCACTGAAGACGATACTAAGATCCGTAGCATTAGCTCTGTTGACTCAATTATCCTAGACTGTGACAAAACTCTCCATCATCTACCAGCAGTCCTGG